AATGTATAGAGGTTGGACTTTCTTTTGTGTGCAATAACATCTCAACACCAGTTGCTACTCAGATATGCATTAGACTGAGGTGAGACTTGCTCCTTGCTACAAGGTTCTTGCACGTTCAACAAAAGATTGACAAAGACACCAAGGCAACAAAAAAAACAAACAGAAACCAAATGACCTGAGTTACACCACTCTCAACACAGTTCAACCCACCTAATACAAAGTACCACCCCACGACCAAAGAGCAATGACACATTTGTGTGGTTTGGCGGTGCGACTTGGCCGTGTCACATCAATGCAAGTGTCCCTGCTGCAATAGGCTGTTGAAGCCACCCACGCGCACGCATCTACGTGGGAATGCAGAAGCACGCAAGCAGTCATGACAGTTGAGGGGCAAACCGAAGGCTAGAGACTGATGAGTTACAGACTAAGGACTGAAGCAGCCACAAAAATAAGACAAGTTGGGTTCAACACAGATCAAAGCCACTCATGAGTACTACTACTGAACTAGGGGTCATTTGGTAGCCGGTTTCTAGCCCTTGTTGGTTGGTTTTGCCTGCAGGTTTCTTCCTAGTTCTCTTTATGATCTGTAGTGTGGTAAACATGCATACGGAATTCATCTAATCTAGTCTCATGTCGATCTAATGCCTAACGGAGGAGCCACATAGCTATTCAAATTTTACTACACATGCAAGAAAGTCCGAGTATTGTAAATCTAACGGGCCGGACATAACTCACGTTATACATGGAAACCTATTTTGTACTAGTACTTTCGTTGAATAAGGAGACAAATATAATTGAAAGAAAACAATAGGAAATCAAAAGCTACAGAATATACAATATTTGAGAACAAATTTCAAATGCTAGAATACACTACATTTCAGAGAGTGAATGGACTAGTCTCTTATTCCAAATTCCCATTCGAAAAAATGTATTTCTTGATGAAGCCTACAATCATCACTACAATACACATCCCTTGGAAAAGCTCTAGTTTGGTTTTGGTGAATTGATGAAACCCTAAGTGCTAACCTAGTTTATCAAAGTGATTATGAGATAGGTAGCACTACTCCAAGTGATGAAGCAATGGTGAAAATCATGATGATGGTGATGGCATGGTGATGATCAAATGCTTGGACTTGGAAAAGAAGAAAGAGAAAACAAAAAGTTTAAGGCAAAGGTGAAACTTGATAGGAGCTTTTTTGTTTTGGTGATCAAGACACTTAGTGAGTGTGATCACATTTAGGATAGATAGCCATACTATTAAGAGGGGTGAAACTCGTATCGAAATGCGGTTATCAAAGTGCCACTAGATTCTCTAACTCATTGCATATGCATTTAGGACCTAGTGGAGTGCTAACACCCTTGAAAACATTTGTGAAAATATGCTAACACATGTGCACAAGGTGATACACTTGGTGGTTGGCACATTTGAGCAAGGGTAAAGAAGATAGAGTTGAAAAAGAGTTAGTCGCGCTGGTCATAGAGTGACTGGGCACGCCTGAAATTGGGACCGGACGCGTCCGGTATTTTATCCAGTCTTGGGGTAGTCAGACATAAGTGATCAGACATGTTCGGAATTACGACCGGACGCATCCGATATTTGGACCTGAGGTGAGCGACTAAGTGAAAGTGACCGGACTCTGGCTTAGTGAAGTGACCGAACGCTGGCGAGTTACTGTTCAGCCTCAGGTCAAAGTGATATAGCCCGATGCAGGATTGCAGAGAGCGACCGGACGTGTCCGGTGTGAACCAGCAAGTCTCAGGTTTTCAGCGCAATAATTCATCGGATGCTGGGAGCATCTGTTCTGGTGTGATCGGACACGTCCGGTCATCCCAGAGCGGCTCAGGGAGCTCTCTGTACTCAACCTAACGCTACGTCTCCCGGGTCCGGTCGTTTTCTAACAGCGCGTCCGATCACGTAGTATTACTATGCGCAGAGATAGCCATTGGGTGCCAATGGCTAAACAATTTGAAAGGGACACATGGCGGTTAGGCTGCGATCGAACACAACGACTGGACGCGTCTGGTCACCACACTGGACGCATCCGGTGCACATGACCTGCGTTTCCGGTCGTCCCGCAGTCAGCCCAATAATTGAGCCAACGGGACTATTGTTTGGGGGTGTCTATAAATATCATTTGGCCAGCTCTAGCTCACCCTCTTGGCCATTTGCATTGACATAACAACCTTGTGAGCTTAGCCAAAGTCCTCCCACTCATCTCCATCTTTGATTCATCATCTTTGTGAGATTGGAAGAGAATCCAAGTGCATTGCTTGAGTGTTTGCATCTAGAGGCACTTAGGGCGCATTTGTGACCCTGGCTCGAAGGCCCGGCTTGTGCCCATGGGCTGCAACTTGCCATGTTTGTGGTCGTGGCCCACGAGCGAGCCTGGCTTCCCAGAGCCAAAAACGCCCTATCCGCCTGGCCCTCTAGAAACGATGAAAACCCTCGTTTCTTTGGAGCCGAGCTCGTGGCGGCGCACGCAGGCTATTTTGGGCGGCGGCGGGGTGGCTCACGCGGGCTCTGGTGGGAAGGGGAAACTACTTCGCACGTGTCCCCGCTCCCTGCTCCCGCTCTGGCCGCCGCGCGCGAAGCGAAATGGCGGCGATTTCGCCGGCCTTTATATACTGGTTCCCACTCTCCACTCTCTCCTTCTTCCACTCGGTGCTTGCTCTTCCACCTCCCTCGTGAGAGACCAGGCGGTGAGTGGTGGTGCATGGCGGCGGCGGCGACCTCTGGCTGGTTGTGGGTTCGGTCACCGGCGCCGAGGTTTTTCGCCACGTCCCCGCTCCGGCTGCTGCTGGGACTCCGTGGCAGCGGTGTTCCTCTTCTTCTCTGTCCGCATTTGCTTCGTCTTCTTCTCGATCTGCATCCTCTACTTCCAGATCTGCCTCCTCTCCGCTGTTTGGACCCCGAGCCAAGGTGAAATCGACCCCCAATCTTCTTTTTTGTGGTGCTTCTTGAAGTTCTTAGGGTTTCTTGTTCGTTGCTGTTCATGATCTGTTAGGGTTTCATACTTGTTATAACTGCTTCATGCTCCTATTAGGGTTACTTGTACCTTACTGTTCTTGATCTGTTGGGATCGTGATCTGTTAGGGTTGTTGATCTATTTGAGATTAGTATTATACCTTGCTGTTCATAACTGTTTGATGTAGTTGTTAGTGTTACTTGTACCTTGCTGTTCTTGATCTGTTATTGATCTGTTTCTGATTACTATTGCTCTGAGTTTTTTGTTCCATCATTGGTCGATGTTGTTGTCCAAATTTAGCACTGGGAGGCATCACATACAAGATGCAGCCATGCTTTTGTTCATATGCATTCATTTCACATTCATGTTGATGCCTAGCAGGGTACATTAAGCTGAAATCATGTTACATTTTTACATGCTTGTAGATGGATCTATCTTTGAGCCGTGACATGCTGTGTAGGAAGGCAGCTTCCTTGACTGTTGTTATGGTTTCCTTTGTATCCACTAAGCTAAAAAGGAAAACCCCTGAACCTGAAACCCCACTGCCTGATCCTATAGCACTGGCCCTGATTAGGGATGAAAATGAACAGCACAGACAGAGAACACTGAGAATGATATACAACTCCACTAATTCAGAGTGTATTTCTATGATTAGGATGAAGAGACCTGCTTTTTTTAAGTTAGTGAGAACTTTTAGAGAGAGGAGTCTTGTCACTGATAGGGAGGGGGTGTCAGTAGAAGAGCAGGTTGCCATGTTTTTACATGTTGTAGGGCACAACAAAAGATTTAGGGTTGTCCACCAGTCCTTTAGGAGGTCCATCAAAACTATCCACAAACACTTCCATCAGGTGTTGTATGCTGTGGGTGAGCTTAGGAATGAAATGATAAAGCCAGCTAGCACTACCACTCACCCAAAGATTCTTGGAAGCCATACATGGAATCCATATTTTAAGGTAATTGTATACCCTAGGTTCATTAGTTACATTAGACCTGTTGCAATGACTGACCCATGCTTTTTAGGATGTCATTGGCTTTATAGATGGCACTCATTTCCTAGCAAGGGTTCCTAGGCACATGCAACAAGCTTTCAGGGGTAGGAAAAAGGATCCCACCCAAAATGTGATGGTAGCTGTGAATTGTGATATGAAATTCACTTATATCCTGGCTAGCTAGGAGGGCTCTGCCCATGATGCAACTATTTTGGCAGATGCTGTAGCTAGGGAAGATGGCTTGAGTTTGCCAGAAGGTAATTGCACACCAACACTAATTACATATTCCATGGCCTATTAACACACACTCTCACAGTAGATGTCTTGTGTAGGTAAAATGTTCTTGGTAGATGCTGGGTATGCATGCAAAAATGGTTTCCTACCTCCCTATAAGGGGGTTAGGTACCATTTGTCTGAGTATGGCCCAAGGAACAGGCCCACCAATGCAAGGGAGCTCTACAACATTGGCACTCATCACTTAGAGTGATTGTGGAGAGGGCTATAGGTGCACTGAAGGGCAGGTTTAGGATCTTGGACAACAAACCCTTCCACAAGTATAGGACACAAGTGAAGCTTGTAGTTGCCTGTGCCATTTTGCACAACTGGATCCTAGGTTTTGGCATTGATGAAGTAGTGCCTGATGAGGAAGGTTTCACTGCTTCTGCTGATCCAACCAACCTACCCCAGCCCATCTGGACCAAGAATCTGTTGACATGGCTGAAATAAGGGATGCCATTTGCAATGCTATGTGGGAAGGGAGGGGAACAAACACTATTTGATGTAATATGTTCTTGAATTTAGCTTCTGTACCCTGCTATGGAACTCATGTGTGTGTCATGGTAATGTAATAATTTGGTGGACAAAGCTGAGACCAATTTTATGCTTCATTCATTCTGTTGTTGTTAATCTTACTGTCAGTCTGTTCTTGAATCATTTTGTTCTTCATGATCTGTCAGTCAGTTGTTTATTTATGCAACTGTTAATATTGTTGTCAGTCTATTCTTGACTAATTATGTTGTTGATTTCATTACATGCCAGCCCTAGGATGGATTCAGGTGCATTTGAGGGTGGGTTTGTTGTTGGTACTTCAGTGATGGAGCAGCTCATCAATGGTGGTTCTGCCCCTGTTGTAGCTGGTGCTGGTGCTAGTGCTGCTGCCCCTGTTGTAGCTGGTGCTGGTGCTGCTCTAGATGCAGCAAACCCTATTGATGTTACTGCTCCTGTGGCTGGGAATGGGGCTGTGAGGGCAATGAGGTGGACCAACACCACCTCTAGCTTTGTGCTAAGGAGGATGGCTGCCCTTGTTAGTGATGGTAGCAGGCCTGACAAGGTTTTCAAGGACAAAGATGTGAATTCTATGGCTAAAGCCCTCAAGCTGTTCTGTGGGGAGGTTGTTAGCCCAACTCAAGTGTACAACCACTTGAGGAAGTGGAGGCAGAAATGGGCTAGGGTGAGCAAGCTGAAGGACCTTAGTGGTGCTCTTTGGGATGACCAGGCTCATGCTATCATGCTTGAGCAAGAGCACTACCTTGGCCACTGCAAGGTAGCAATTTGATCTCGTCTTTGCCTTGACTACCTACATTTGCCTTTCTTAAACTACAATTGCCCAACCCTGCAAGACCATCCTAAAGATGCAGAGTTTCTTAACTGCCCTATTAGGTTCTACACTGAGATGGAGGCTATCTTTGCTAATGCCATGGCCACAGGCAAGTTTGCACTTGGGTCTGGTGAAGCCTTAGCACAGAACCAGGCTGACAGTGTTGGTGCCAAGGCTGATGGTCCTCCTTTGACCCACACCACAGTTCCCAATGAACAGGGAGGGGATAGCAAGGCCACTGAACTGCTTCCTACCTCCTCAGCTGCTGGCCCAAAGAGGAAGAGAGGGAACTTCTCTGAGGAGGAGATGCTCTTGTTGACTAACATGTCAGATGCTGTGAACAATGTGGCCAATGCTCTTAGGGAGACTGGACCTGCCCATGTTGATGCCAATCTGTACCTTGCTATGATGGAGATGCCTGGCTTCAGTGAGGAGGCACTTATTGTTGCTTACACCTTCCTCCTGGACAACAAGGCCCAAGGCAGGGGCTTTGTGAACATGAGTGATGCCCACAGGGCCCTTTGGCTTAGGACCTTCTTGGCCAAAAACTACTATGTGTAGTTCCACTACACATGAAGGGCTAGAAGGCCAGGAGGGGGTTGACTGTAGAGATGTATAGTTCCTCCACCCCCCTCACCCACTCTCTCTTCTTTTGACAATAGGAGCTTTTGTGCAATCTGCTTGTTCTTTTGACACCTGACCTTGATGGTGTAGTTTGCCTAGGAGGGTGGCTAACAATAGGCAAGGATTTGGGAACATTTGAGCCCTTGGCTATTGGGCTGAACTTGGTATTGGAACAAACACTATTTGTAGCCTCTATTGGCTACTTTTTATTTGATAACTAGTTGCCTATTTGTGTTGTTTATGCCCTGGTGGTAACTGTGGGATTTAAAGGCCTATGATGCATAAAACAAACATGAGGTGGCTACCTTATTCTTGTTTTGATGGTTTTGTTATTGTGCTTTGTTCTTTATTTGCCTATCCTTCCATTCTACACTTATGCTCAGTTGTACTCCATAGCAACAACATCCTCTTGTGATGGCTGATGGCAGTGAGTGCAACTGATCAAAAGGTCTATATGGCAGTGAGTGCAACTGTTGTTTATTTGCCTCTTTATTTGGTTCTTACAATTCTTGGTAGCCACCAATGACTAAACAAGGAAAAAAACCACCAAACTACTAAGCTGAGGCTAATTTTTTATCAAGTAGCCGATGATGTTCACCATCATTCAAACTGAATGGTCGACTGAGGCATGTCATTCAGACCACTTACATGTTCTACATTTGGTTGGTTTCAGAGAATGCCTCCTTGCTATGTGGTCTTTGAAGGGAAGAAACCTGGGATTTATTTTACATGGTATGAGTGTGCTAAGCAAGTGCTTAGGGAAGAAGGGGCTATCTATCAAAAGTACAACAACTATGATGATGCTCTTAGAGATTTTAATGCAAGGGTACCTCAAGAACCCTTGCTGTTACCAATTGATGCCCCTCATGGGGATGCATCAGCATCCCATGAACTGGTGATAGCTCAAGGTTTTGAAATCTATCCTCATTCACCTGGGCTGCAAGGCTGTTGCAAAAATGTTGTCATCTTGATCTTGTTTATGGTTGTAGTTGGTCTGTCACTCAAGCTGTTCATGTGCCACAGCTATTGTTTTAATTAGGCCGATGATGACACAATAGGATGACTACATTAGCTGGCTACATGCCACTTTGATTCATGTACTCTCTTTTCTATTAACTTGTTGCCCTTCTCGGCTTGCCAAACTACTTAATTCTGCTATTGTTCTTAATTTGCTTCTTTGATTATGCAATGTAGCCGGCAATGTATGTGTTGATTAAATGGAATTAGTCTGAGGCCTATGTCTTTTGTACATTTTCATTCAAAGTGTTTGCTTCTCTATTGATCATCCTGTTCTTCCTTCTCTTTGGGCTAGGCCGAGCACAGCAGCTGGCAAACACAATCTATGCTCGGCAGTTGGTGGCGGTTGGCGTTTGAGCCCGGCTGAGTATTGGGTCACAAACACCAGCTCGCCTATGCCGGGCTGAATCAGTACAGGTGCGCAAACAAGCTACGTTGCAGCAGTTGGGGAAGGCCTACCCACGCCTGGTCTGTTTGGGCTGGCTCGGCCGTGCTGGTCCAGGTGCGCAAACGCGCCCTTAGTATTTGTGTTTTGCTGCGGGTTTGTCTTGTTACTCTTGGTGGTTGCTGCCACCTAGATGGCTTGGAGCAGCGAAGATCGTCGAGCAGAGGTTGGTGATTATCTTTGGCTCCGATCGTGGTGATTGTGAGGGTTTCTTGACCTTTCCCCGGTGGAGAGCCAAAAGGTACTCTAGTAAAATGCTCGTGGCTTGTGTGATCCTCATCTTGTGTTGGTTGTGCGACACCCTATTGAGGGTTTGGCGTGTGATGCCAATTAGCGCATGAACCTCCAAGTGAGTGAATCACCACAATGGGGACTAGCTTGCCGGCAAGCAAGTGAACCTCAGAGGAAAAATCATTGTGTCTCGATTATCTCCTTGGTATTCATTGGTATTCACTCATTGTCACTTGCCACGGAGATATACCTCTCTACCACTCTCTTGTATTTCATTATACATTCACTTGGATAGAGCTAGTGGTAGTTAAGACTAGATAGTGTACCATTTAATTGTATTACTCTCACTAGGTTGATCACCTAGGTGTATATTAGTGACATAGCTTTGTTGTGATATACTAGAGATCATAGAAAATAGAATTCGGTAGGTGGCTTGCAACCGTAAGTATAGTGCTAACGCAAAATTCGCTTCACCATCTTATTGACTAATCATTTGTCTTAGTGTTGTTGTAGAAAATTTTAATAGGCTATTCACCCCCCTCTAGCCATTAGGACCTTTCAAGTGGTATTAGAGCTGTGGTCACCGTGATTTGAGGCTTAACAACCTTCGGTGTAAAAATGGCTCAAATCAACAACACCAAGAAGCCACCCCAATTTGATGGCTCAAACTATCTCTATTGGAATGCTAAGATGACAACATATATCAAGTCAATCAATAGGAAAGTTTGGAAGGTGGTGGAGACCAAGATTGAGATAAAGGATCCAGAGAACCCCACCGCCGCCGAAGAAGTGCTTCTCCAAAACAATGACATTGCTTTTAATGCCATTCATGATGCTATTGATGAGAGAACATTTGAGCAAATCAATAACATTGAGATGGCTCATGAAGCATGGAAGAAGTTGGAGGAATCATTTGAGGGCACTCAAGCCATGAAGGGTGCCAAGGCATATATCCTCAAGGAGAAGTTTGCTAGTTTTACGATGAAGGAGGATGAGAGTGTCCCAGAGATGTTCCATAGATTACAAGTGCTTGTCAATGATCTCAAAGCACTTGGCGAGAAGGTGGAGGACAAGGACTTCTCCCATAAGTTCTTGAGATGCTTACCCTTAAGATTTAGCACATTAGTCACTATTCTAGTGAGGAGTGGTTTAGACACCATGACACCAAACCAAGTGTTGGGAGATATAATGACCGATAACACATATAGAGATGACGATGAGAAGAAAGAAAAGAAGGAGAAGAAGGATGAGAAGAAGAAGAGTGTGGCATTCAAGGCCACATCATCCAAGGGCAAGGCAAAGCAAGAATCATCAAGTGAAGATGAAGACTTGAGCTTTAATGAGATGGATGATGAGAAGATGGCTCTCTTTGTTAAGAGATTTGGCAAGTTCATGATGAAGAAGGGCTACCATGCTAGAAGAAAGAAGTCTTCATCTAGGAACAAGGAAGAATCAAGAAGATGCTTCAATTGCGGAAGCAAAGATCATCTTGTTGCTTAATGCCCATACAATAGTGACAATGATGACAACAAGAAGAACAAGAAGAAGGACAAGAAGGAAAAGAAAGAGAAGAAGGACAAGATGATCTTCAAGAAGAAGAAAAAGGGTGGTTCATATGTGGTCACTTGGGATAGTGATGCTTCCTCAAGTGATGATGATGATAGTGATGATGACAAGACCACCAAGAAGAAGGCACTTGTAAGCATTGCTATTAATGAGAATCCTTCTCTCTTCGACACTCCATCATGCTTCATGGCTAAGGCCACTAAGGTATAAACTTGTGATGATGGAAGCGATGAGGAACATGATAATGAAAATGAAAATGAAAGTGATAGTGATGATAATGAACCAACTAAGGATGAACTACTTGACATGCTAGATGATGCTAAAGAACACTTTGATATTAAGAGAAGGGAATGCAAAAGCTTGTGTAAGGAACTAAAAGCCCTTATGCAAGCCTTTGGTGAGCTCAATGCATCTCATGAGAGGCTAGAGGAAGCCCATGAGAAGCTTGGCAAGGCTCACAAGAAGCTTGAAAAAGCTCATTCCACTTTGCTTGATGAGCAAAATGAGAAGAAGCATGTTGAGACATGTAATGTAGGGTTAACTTGTGACCTAATTGATGAATCATTATATAAGCCTATCATTATTGTTCCCACTAACCCTTCTTGTAGCACTTCCACTTCCACCTCATCTAATAGTGATGGTTTCACATGTAATGTCTCACTAATGGTTGAGAATGAGACCATCAAGAAGAAGGTCAATGAGCTTACTCACATCTTGGCTAAGGCCTATGGTGGTGAGGACCGCTTGCTTATGTGCTTGGGTAGCCAAAGAGCTTCTCTCTACAAAGAGGGATTGGGCTATACCCCCAAGAAAGGCAAGGCGGCCTTTGCTCCTCACAAGACTAGTTTTGTGAAGAACAATGGTTGGTTTTGCACTAGTTGCAACCAAGTTGGTCATAAAGAGCATGAGTGCAAGAACAAGAGCAAAAGTGCTAATGTATCCTCAATTAAGATTAATTCTTTCTATGTGCTTACTAAGGGTACAAATGGTGTGAAAGCTAAGTTCACTGGTACACCATGGATGGGTTCAAAGAAGAAAGCTATTTGGGTGCCAAAGAGCTTGGTCACTAACCTTCAAGGACCCGAGCAAGTTTGGGTACCTAAAAAGAATTGATCTTCTTTTGTAGGTCAATTCCAAAGCTGGAGGAAGGCATTGGGTTCTTGATAGTGGGTGCACTCAACACATGACCAGTGATGCAAGAATGTTCAACTCAATCAATACCAATGGCAATGATTGTTATAATAGTATCACATTTGGTGATAATGGCAAAGGCAAAGTTAAAGGGCTTGGTAAGATTGCAATATCCAATGACATGAGCATATCCATTGTGTTGCTAGTAGAGAGCTTGACCTTCAATTTGCTATCCATGGCTCAATTGTGTGATCTTAGATTCAAATGCATATTTGGGGTAGATGATGTAGAGATCATAAGTGTAGATGGCTCTAACTTGATCTTCAAGGGCTCTAGATATGAAAATCTATACTTGGTTGATTTCAATGCTAGTGAAGCTCAATTATCTACATGTTTGTTCACTAAGTCTAGCATGGGTTGGTTATGGCATAGAAGGCTTGGTCATGTTGGAATGAAACAATTGAATAGATTGGTCAAGCATGACTTGGTTAAAGGCTTAAAAGATGTAGTGTTTGAGAAAGATAAGCTTTGTAGCTCTTGTCAAGCC